TGGACAATAATTCCACTATAAATTGGAAGTGTTGAACTTGTGCAGTTACCATATTCTGTCCCTTTTTAGTGATATTAGGAAGAATCAAAATACAATAAATGATATTGTTGAGGTAAAAAAACAGATGTTAAAGGAAATAAAGAGCAGATTCAGAAATTGTCTTAGTTTGTTCCACTGCCTGCAGAATAATAATAATAATAGTGCGAAGTGCGAAATGCAAAATTTTCATTTGAAAGTAAAGTTGGTAGCGGAGACAAAATTAAACCTCAAAGCCTTCTGCGCGTACGTTAGTAATAAAAATTCAAATTAAAGATCATATCCCAGATTTAAATGAGGATGGTTATTCAGTGAGCTAGCTCTGATAAATTAAAAGCATCAATTTTCAATAAGGTTTTTAATCTATGCCTAGTAGTTTTAGTTAAAATTTTGCATTACTTATATTGCATATCATAGTTTAAATTGTAAAGATATGGTGGATTATTTAAGTAGACAAGGTATAAACAAATCTTCTGGTCCTAATAGTATCCATTCTAGAACATTATAGGAGACAGCAGATGAATTAGAAAGCATTATTACTTTATTGTTCAATAAATCGTTAGATAAGTGTAGTACCAGTGTCGTGGCGATAAGCATATGTTCAAGAAGGGTGACAGAAGCGAGCCGCTAAATTATAGACCTGTCAGTTTGACATCAGGTTTATGTAAATTATTGAAAAAGTTTGTAAGAGATGCAATATATAATAATATTTAAAGTAATAATTTAATAAATAATCATCAACACGGTTTCATATCAGGTAGATGTTTTTCTACTAATCTTTGAAGTTTTTGACCAGTGGTCTTCATGGCTTGATGATAAACAATCATTTGATTGCATTTATTTTGAATTCCAGAAAGTGTTTGATAGAGTGGCACATGGTAGAATATTATGTAAGTTAAAAGCATGGTGTGACTGATAACATGTTCGAGATTTTTTCCCCATACGAAACATTGCATGAAACTTCATTTGGGCCGTCTAGGATTGACTCGACTTGAGTTCGATACGATACTGAGTTTATTTATTATAAATAAGAGCAGGCACTTCGCAATGCAGTGACGCTCGACATTACTATTATTGTTTTTTCTATATGTTTACCTACGGTAGAGGGTGTCTAATTAACGAAGACCAATATTTTTTTTATTTTGATGATAATACACCAGGTTGTAACAAAATCAAAATTACGAAATTTTTTGGGCATCTGTTTGTAAAATTTTCAAGGGTTTTCGTTTTATAGACACTCTACATGGGTGTCTACAAAACGAAGACCGAAGACCCAAAAACGAAAACCTCCCGTTATTTCGGGTGTCTACAAAACGAAGACAGAAGACCCGAAAAACGAAGACTCACATTTTTCTCTTTTTTTTTCGTATTAGGCCTACATCAGGCTGTAAAAAAAATCATAATTATGAGGTTATTCAAACTTTTGTTTGTAAAAATGATCACAAATAATTTTTCGTGTTATAGACCTCACCTCACCTCCCTAAACCACATAGTGAGATTTAGATTGTGTGTAAAGCATCATGTGTGTATGTTTGTATTGTGAAAGGGATTTGTCACCTACGAAGTAGGACAGTAATAATATTCGCTATTGACAATCCTTCGTACATGTGTTGTGTGCCTAAATAAAATAATGAAAAAAAAAAAAAAAACAAAACTTGGGTATATGTGTTTATACCAGTCTATGATTAGATCTTTTCTCGAATATGGTGCTAGTGCTTTGTCTCCCTTGTATACAAGCGATTGTGAATTGTTCGGAAAATGTCCAAAAGAGACCTACACGATTAGTAAGAAATTTAAGATAAAAAAATAACGAAGGAAGACTAATAGCTGTTTTTTTTTACCAACACAAGAGACCTTGTTCTTGTGCTCTTGTTAAGACGTATAAAATATTGCATAAATTTCACACAATTACCCAGGTAATTAAATATCCACTACAAACAACAATAAGGGGTAATGAATATAATATAAGAAAAAAGGTATACACTGTACAAGTATGACTAGAATGTTCTCCCACGCGAAGTTGTCACAGCAAAGTCTGTTAACGTGTTCAAGTCGGTTTGAAAAAAGAAAACTGGTCTGGCCTCTATCTAAGCTTTAGCCGGTACACACCTTAAGATGATTCTAAAAATCTAAAAAGAGGGACAAATTAGCTTTAGGACTCTAACTCTAAGAAAAATATTTAAAAAAGAATAGCTTTTAGAAAAAATAAAATAAATAAAAAAAAAGACCAACCTGCATAATTAGTCTCTGTAGCACCTTCTGTTATTGATTCTTTATCAAATGGAGTAACAGGTGCATCTGTAACTCTTTCTGTTTCTGTTTTATCTTCATCAACCGAAGTTACAGGTGCATCTGGAGCAGTAGTTGCATCAGTGGGTTTTGTTGTTTCTTTTTGATGAACATCAACCGGTATTGTGGGAGCATAAGTAGCAACTTTTGTTTCATCATAAACTAGAGTAGCAGATGCATCGGTAGCAACTTCTGTTTTATCTTCATGAACTGGAGTAGCAGGTACATCGGATGCCTCTGGTGTTTTCTCTTTATGCATATCCACAGTAGTAATAGGTTCATCGGTAACACTTTCAGTTTGATGTTCACGAACTGGAGTAACCGGTGCATCTGTTGGCTTTCGTGTTTCTCCTTCATGAATATCAACCGGAGAAGTAAATTCATCCGTAACACTTTCTGTTATTGATTCTTTATCAAATGGTGTAACAGGTGTATCTGTAACTCTTTCTGTTTCTGTTTTATCTTCATCAACTGGAGTTACAGGTGCATCTGGAGCAGTAGTTGCATCAGTGGGTTTTGTTGTTTCTTTTTGATGAACATCAACCGGTATAGTGGGAGCATCAGTAGCAACTGTTTTATCTTCATGAATTGGAGTAACAGGTACATCGAATGCCTCTGGTGTTTTCTCTTTATGCATATCCACAGTAGTAGTAGTAGGTTCATCGGTAACACTTTCTGTTTGATGTTCAGGAACTGGAGTAACCGGTGCATCTGTTGGCTTTCGTGTTTTCCCTTCATGAACATCGAACGGAGAAGTAGGTTCATCGGTAACACCTTCCGTTATTGATTCTTTATCAAATGGAGTAACAGGTGCATCTGTAACTCTTTCTGTTTCTGTTTTTTCTTCATCAACTGGAGTTACAGGTGCTTCTGGAGCAGTAGTTGCATCAGTGGGTTTTGTTGTTTCTTTTTGATGAACATCAACCGGTATAGTGGGAGCATCAGTAGCAACTGTTTTATCTTCATGAATTGGAGTAACAGGTACATCGGATGCCTCTGGTGTTTTCTCTTTATGCAAATCCACAGTAGTAGTAGTAGTAGGTTCATCGGTAACACTTTCTGTTTGATGTTCAGGAACTGGAGTAACCGGTGCATCTGTTGGCTTTCGTGTTTTCCCTTCATGAACATCGACCTGAGAAGTAGGTTCATCGGTAACATCTTCCGTTATTGATTCTTTATCAAATGGAGTAACAGGTGCATCTGTAACTCTTTCTGTTTCTGTTTTTTCTTCATCAACTGGAGTTACAGGTGCATCTGGAGCAGTAGTTGCATCAGTGGGTTTTGTTGTTTCTTTTTGATGAACATCAACCGGTATAGTGGAAGCATCAGTAGCAACTGTTTTATCTTCATGAATTGGAGTGACAGGTGTATCGGATGCCTCTGATGTTTTCTCTTTGTGCACATCCACAATAGTAGTAGGTTTATCGGTAACACTTTCTGTTTGATGTTTAGGAACTGGTGTAACCGGTGCATCTGTTGGCTTTCGTGTTTCTCCTTCATGAACATCAACCGGGGAAGTAGATTCATCCGTAACACTTTCTGTTATTGATTCTTTATCAAATGGAGTAACAGGTGCATCTGTAACTCTTTCTGTTTTTTCTTCATCAACTGGAGTTACAGGTGCATCTGGAGCAGTAGTTGCGTCAGTGGGTTTTGTTGTTTCTTTTTGATGAACATCAACCGGTATAGTGGGAGCATCAGTAGCAACTGTTTTATCTTCATGAATTTGAGTAACAGGTACATCGGATGCCTCTGGTGTTTTCTCTTTATGCACATCCACAGTAGTAGTAGGTTCATCGGTAACACTTTCTGTTTGATGTTCAGGAACTGGAGTAACCGGTGCATCTGTTGGCTTTCGTGTTTTCCCTTCATGAACATCGACCTGAGAAGTAGGTTCATCGGTAAAACCTTCCGTTATTGATTCTTTATCAAATGGAGTAACAGGTGCATCTGTAACTCTTTCTGTTTCTGTTTTTTCTTCATCAACTAGAGTTACAGGTGCATCTGGAGCAGTAGTTGCATCAGTGGGTTTTGTTGTTTCTTTTTGATGAACATCAACCGGTATAGTGGGAGCATCAGTAGCAACTGTTTTATCTCCATGAATTAGAGTAACAGGTGTATCGGATGCCTCTGATGTTTTCTCTTTATGCACATCCACAGTAGTAAAAGGTTTATCGGTAACACTTTCTGTTTGATGTTTAGGAACTGGTGTAACCGGTGCATCTGTTGGCTTTCGTGTTTCTCCTTCATGAACATCGACCTGAGAAGTAGGTTCATCGGTAACACCTTCCGTTATTGATTCTTTATCAAATGGAGTAACAGGTGCATCTGTAACTCTTTCTGTTTTTTCTTCATCAACTGGAGTTACAGGTGCATCTGGAGCAGTAGTTGCATCAGTGGGTTTTGTTGTTTCTTTTTGATGAACATCAACCGGTATAGTGGGAGCATCAGTAGCAACTGTTTTATCTTCATGAACTGGAGTAACAGGTACATCGGATGCCTCTGGTGTTTTCTCTTTATGCATATCCTCAGTAGTAGTAGTAGGATCATCGGTAACACTTTCTGTTTGATGTTCAGGAACTGGAGTAACCGGTGCATCTGTTGGCTTTCGTGTTTTCCCTTCATGAACATCGACCTGAGAAGTAGGTTCATCGGTAACACCTTCCGTTATTGATTCTTTATCAAATGGAGTAACAGGTGCATCTGTAACTCTTTCTGTTTCTGTTTTATCTTCATCAACTGGAGTTACATGTGCATCTGGAGCAGTAGTTGCGTCAGTGGGTTTTGTTGTTTCTTTTTGATGAACATCAACCGGTATAGTGGGAGCATCAGTAGCAACTGTTTTATCTTCATGAATTGGAGTAACAGGTACATCGGATGCCTCTGGTGTTTTCTCTTTATGCATATCCACAGTAGTAGTAGGTTCGTCGGTAACACTTTCTGTTTGATGTTCACGAACTCTAGTAACCGGTGCATCTGTTGGCTTTCGTGTTTCTCCTTCATGAACATCGACCGGAGAAGTAGGTT